CTCTCTCTCTTCCCCTCTTTCCCTTTCTCTCTCTCTTCCCCTCTTTCCCTTTCTCTCTCTCTTTCAATCAATCCCGCCCTTCTCCCACAGATCAAAGCTGTGGCGTCGGTGGCCTAGTGGTTAGGATACCAGATCCGTAAACGTGAGATTGCAGGTTCGGGGGTTCGAGCCTCAGCTCAATCCGACGCTGTGTCCTTGGGGAAAGACCCTTGACAAAAATGTCCCTTTTGGCTCGGTCATTTCGAAGCTGGATGGACGCTTAACTCGTAGGCCTCGCCTCTTAAATAACCCAATAGTGTTGATAGGGCCGTTAAACCTATACCAGTGGGTGGTTGGCGGGTGCACTGGTGTGGTTTGCTTCTTCTTTCCTATTAAACATCAGCTATCGTCCTTATCCCTCCTCCTTCTTTTGTGTGTGTGTTACTCTCTTATAACACCTCTAATCTTCGGCACTTATATGACCTCATTGTGTTGCAAGTGCCGTGAAACACTTACTAAAACTAAAAAAACCTATACCAAAATGTTTCCATTTTCACAGATCAAATCCAAGATGGCGGTGAACACGTCCGACATGTTACGGCTACAGAAGGGCCAGTCCCGAGCTGGGCGCAGCTACAGCCAACACAAACGTGACAGGGACATGCTCAGACTGCGACACGGAGAGCTCAGCTACAAGAAGTCGGTGGTGCAGGGCAAACTTGCCGCGAAACAGTGAGTGAAGTGCGGTGCAAGGCACCCTAGCTCGCATCCGTTGCTGATTTTGGATTGTTAGGAGGTGTTCCTCGGCCCTCTACTATTTTTTTCTTCTTTTTTCTTCCTTTTTAATTTTAGGGTATATGTATTTCTAATCTCTCATAACTACCTGTCCAGCGTCGGTAGCCTTCTGGTTTTGCTACCGGGCACGTAGTTGTGGTTTCAGGGCTTCCAACCTCAGCTCGGTCCGACGTTGTGTCACTTAAAAAGGCACTTTAGACAATTAATGATCTACTATTATTGGCTCTGTCCTTTCGGAGATGAACGTTCAACTCGTAGGCCTTGCCTCTTAAATAACTTAATAATGCTGATACCATTTCATTAAACATTACTGTCTAAGGTACTAGCGACCTCTTCGAGACTTTCTCCTCGCATTTATTTTTTCTTTGTAACAATGACAGCTGTCTTAGACGAACCTTTTTCTCCTCGACAATGACTGGTCGTCTTGGACAAAATCCCTGTACCATGACGTTATCCCCTGAGTTTGATCTCAATTCTAATCGTTACAATAAGAAGCTACGAATACAAACTTAATTGATGAAGGCGCTTGTTTGAATATATTTTTTCATTTCAACCAGTTTATTTCATCTTAAAGTTTAAAATATCTTGACTGGTCACAGAGATGAACGAGACCGCCTGAAAGAAGAACGGCAGCAGAAAGAGGGGATGAGTCCACGGGAGTCTGGGAATTTTCTTACGAAGCTGGAGAATGTTGAACGGGACATGGAGAGGTTGGAGAATGAGAGGAAGACCACGGAAAGACAGATGAGGAGGGTGGAGAAAGAGCTCAAGCCGACGGGGGATAAGACGTATGAACAGAAGGTCAGACCTGTGTGAATATATTTATTGTGTATGTGTGTGATTGTTTGTGTTTGTGTGTCTCCTGGGAGTGTATAATTATGTGAGTGAGTGAGTGTGTGTGTGTG